CATCATAGTTAGGAATATTAGTTCTGACAGGAATTCCAGCAGTTGCAAACGTCACTACATCCAAACTAGTAAAGTCTGGCTGTAAGAAATTAACTTTTTCAAATGTAGAAGGCCATGATAAATTTGTTAACAACCTTTCAGCATTATTTACAAGTCGCTGGAATTTTTTAGACACTGACCTATTTACAACAGCGACAAATGATTCAAACTTTGCACGAACGCCAAAGGGATCACGGTATGACTCGATAAACCCAATATAGTTTACAACAACAGGGTTCTTATCTTTAACCCATAACCTGAAGGCATCTTTGTGAGTGGCTACTGAGCCAGTAGTGAAGCTTTCAGCATACTGATGCCACATTTCTGATTCAATTTGGTTAGGCGAATGTGCTTTAAAATCTTTACGACAATCGACTAGTAACTTCATCAGCTCACTATAGTCACCATATTCAAGCTGCAAAGATGTGTCCGAGGGAAGGGCATCTCTTAACTTCTCACGACGTTGACTCGGAGGGATTTGCAGGTCATGGTAACGTTGGGCTAACTGTCTTTGTTTTTCTTGGATAATAGGAGCGTCGAAATGACTTTCTGCAGCAAGCGTGTCAGCCTGGACTTTGAATGTATCTATACGTTCACAATGAGTAGCTACATCAGATTCAAGCAAGTTGTACCGCTTTTGTACGTTCATCACACCGTTTAGATCACGAACGACATCCTCTGAGGCTATCTGAGCTTCAACATCATTCAACCATAACTCGACATCTTCTGTGTTGCGAGCGAACTGTTGTTGCCTACTTGCTTGATCTAAATCTTTCTTCTTGTCTCCCATGGCATTTACGAGATGAGACCAAGTTTCATCCAACTGTTCAATCTTTACTTTTATTTCTGGCGAGTTGTAGTGGTTTGCATTTAACAAATCCTGACCTGTCTTTTTAATATCTTCAACGCGGGATTGGTTCGCTTGTATTTCTGCCTCAAAACTCTGATGCTTCTGCACCTTTGTTTGCAAATTCGTGGAGTCTTTGTAACTTTCATCAACTGCATTTCATCTGCATCTCTATCGAACATTTGGTAACGGTGGGAATCTTCAAGACGCTGACGGCGGTTCTGAGCTTTCTCCTTTAATGCATTTCGTCTATTTTGAAGACCTTCCTGAATCTCATCAACCTGTGCAGCCGCATAGTGGTTTGATTCGATTAATTTTGCAGCGAATTCATCAAGTTGTCGCATCTTTTCTTCTTGTGCTAGAAGCGACTTTTCGAAGTCTTAATGTTTCCTTATCAGTGCTTCCACAGAATCGAGTGAGTCTCCCACATCTTTTATTTCTAGGAAGGCCTGTTGCTTACCAATCCAAGATTCCGACTGTTCAGCGTCGCGGTAAAAATACAGAAGGCCCATACACTGTTCTAGCTGTTCACGTCTTTCTTCACACAACTGCATCAGGGAGGCTCTCCCTCTTTCAAGGGTGGAAAGTTTAGCAGCTATGTCTCCACTACAGGGATGGCCAACTCTTTGTAATGCCTGACCTTCTTGCATGCATGTATCGAAACTGTCAGCTCGAGAATTTATCTCACCGGTGTATTCCTTATGTCGCTCTACTTGGGCTTCAGCACCAGCTACATCCTTTGCCAAATCATCCGCCGATATTAACGTCTTCATGTCATTCATCCAGATGCTCAAGTCTCTCCAGTCAGCCAAAAAGCGATGCATCTTGAATGACTCTTCCAGTTTACCTTCTCCTATCTACAGCCTGACTTTTCAGCTTATCCCATGCAGTGATTAAGGCGTCATACTTGCCTTGTATAGTGTTTTGCGAATCAGGATGCTTCTGTGCAAGCGCCTTAGCATCATTTCCAAGTTGAACAATCTTTTTATCTGGGGCAGTCAAATCCCTTTCTAATGCTTCGTGCTTCCTTTGTAAGGCTTAGACTGAGGCAAGATCACGACCACAGTCCTCAATGGATAAAGGAATGAACTTTTCATTCACCAACGATATAGCTCCATCTATGTCTCTAAAGAAGCGCTGTATCTCATAGGCTTCCAGGAGCTTTTCTTGTCGTTTTCTAGCCAGATCCTTCAGACGTTCTATAGCTTCGCGGACTTGTCTGAACTTTTCTATGACTAGGGCATCCTCAGGAAATTTCTCTTTTAGAAGTTCATCTGCCTTCCGATAGATGTCTTCTGCACGACTTTCTTGATTCTCGAGATCTTTTGTAAACTCATTAAACCCTTTCTGAAGTGTCTCAGCATGTTACAAGTCTTGACCTAAATCCTCTGATGTTACGTAAGTTTCTTTTTCACGTATCCAGAAAAGTATCTCCTCGACTTGGCGTAAAAACTGGACAAATTTAAGCGTTAGGTTAATAAGACGTAATTTTTCTCTGAAAATAGCCATAAGCCTTTCCCACAGGGCATGCAGTTCATCAAGACGGTTTTTGATAATATCTGTTGCGTAGTGTCCCTGACCAATCATTTCTTCTCCCGCAGAATCCAGAGCTGACAGTGTTTCAGCATGAACTGTTACTTCGAACTCAAACTCCTGATGTTTCTGTTTTTTCAGATGAAGATTACTGAGTTCTTTAAAATCCTCATTTGCATATGTTTGCAGTTTTTTATTGATCCAACACTCAAGTTCATCGGCATCCTTCTTAAAATATTGATATCTTTCAAGCATGTCCATAAACTTAGATATGGCTATGGTGAACTCACCGTTAAGAGATACAGTGACTTTATGGGAAGTAGAAGGTTTGTAAGGCGATTTATTGTGACCAGAACATTCGCGACTACCTTGTCGTAATCTTTCTAATTCCATTTCTTTCTCTTTTTGGACCATGCGCAATTTCGCTAGCTCCAATTCTACCATACGGTGTGATTTATTCTCTTTGCTTCCAGGGAAATCAGCCTCATTACTCTTTTCTAACTGTGGAGTTAACGATGGCATAGTTTCATAACTTTCGTCTGCCATACTGTTCGAAACTTTGTAGGATTATTTTTGTCCTACAGATTTAGTCCTTTCTCAATATTTATATTTTTTTAATATTTTTGGTTACAGCTTGATGCCACCTTGTATTTTCAGTACAAGTATGGCATTTTCAGCATGGATATCGGTAGCCCAAATTTTGCAGACCGACCATAGATATCGGGTGTGCGTCAGCAGGGGATCGAACCTCGGATCATGTGCATGGTCGGCGAGAGTGCTAACCACTGTGCCACCGACGCACACTGTAATACTGACGACACAGAGTCTTGGCTTAGCTATAGTTAAAACAGAATGACTTGACTTAAACTTTATCTGTTTCTAAAACATAAAATAAATCATACAATTACACCAAGAAAAATGTACAAATCCACTGTCATTCAAAAAAGGACAAAAGCGTACCGAACAGTATTGAAGGAACGGACAAATGAACAGTTAATTAATTACATGTACATACAAATAAAGTGACAGACAACAAAGAACATTCAAGGTCACATCACGTGGTGAGAGTTACAATAAATTGACGAATAATCGCGACAAGAAGGTCACATCATATTGATTAGCTGTCTATCATATAGTCCATCTATCTGTCGTGATTAACAATATGTTCATAAAGCCAAGTTAAACTTTAGACACCAGTCACTTCCAATCAGCGAACGACGTCAAATTATCCAATGAGATTCACGGCTGAAATTATCCCGCATGCTCAAGGTCATTGATGGAGTGAGACGCTCAAAGGTCATTTTCGTCCATGTTAGTCGGTTATGTTGGATTGCAGTTCCGTAGCCGTTCGTTTACACATTGGTTTCACGTTCTGTTGGCATTTATAGGTGATTCCCATGTAGTGATAGCATTCTTTTGTAAAATAGTACTGTTCTTCACACGAAAATAGCCACATTTTGACGTAGTCTTCATTGAATGACACTATGTCGAAAGCTGCACCTTCTACAAGAAATAAACTATTTGTGTAGATGACATTACCTCCAACCACCCCATCTTCTTCATTGTAGAGATGTTTTGACGCATTCAGTATGAAACACTAATCATTACAACCAATATGCTAAGTGTGTCGCAGTCAGATTAAATGACGCGGACACCAACATAACTAGCCAGGAAATGAGAATTCTTATCAATCCAGAAAACATATAACAAAAATTTTATTAAAAATTATTGACAAAAGAAATTTGCCGAGCGAAATTTCAAACAACATGCCGGATAAGTCCAGCCAGTTTCACGAATGTAGTTCAATGTTGTATAGCGCCTGATTCATTTCAATGCGTGCCCTTACAAGGTTACGTTTGCAAATCTAGGAGGATAGTGTCTTTCAGTATTGCTTGGACTTAGGCTTGCTTCGAAAGGAGAGGGAGGTATCATGACCTTAAAAAGCTATATTAGGTCAATTGATGGATTTGTCCATCGTTGTGCTATATGCTCCAAGCGTGTTAGCATTAGAGAGGGTAAGTTGATAATTTTAATATTTCGTAGGAACCTTTTTTGCAATGTCGCACCTCTCCTTGACGCAAATTTTATATATCTGCAACTACTGGGTATTAAAACAGCCAGTGAGAGCAGCAGCTGCGGAGACGGAGAACAGCCTCGTCTCAACAGTTCAATGGTACCAGTATTGCAGAGATATTGAATCCTGGAAAATCGAGAAGATCACTTCGTTGTTGGGTGGAGAAGACGTTATCATGCACGTGGATGAAACTGTGATGCTGAAAAAGAAATACAACCGTGGTCGCCAGCGAGCGAATAATATCTGGGTGATAGGTTTATACGATACTTCCTTACGAAAGGGATTCGTTGAAAGAATAGGAGATAGAAAGGCGACAACGTTAATACCTATTATAACGAGACCCATCAAACGGGGTTCAATTATACACACGGACGAGTGGAAAGGTTATAATTCGCCTTCATCCTTGGGATATAGTCATCACCGAGTGAACCATTCAAACGATTTTGTGGATCCAGTTGCCGGAACTCATACAAATTCTATTGAAGGATTTTGAGGCCGGTTGAAAAATCTGGTAAGGGCTATAAATGGATCCCGGAAGGATCTCATTTATAGTCATTTAGATGAATATATATAAACATATATATACAGAGTGTGGTGCGACTTTTCTATTGACAGTCCGTTGCTGAATTGGGAAATGTTTCTGTCCCATGTTCGTGAAAGATACCCGTTGTAATTGTTTTATCCTATTTTTTATGCATTTTTCTATAAATATACATTACCACTTATCATAAACGCCTCTTTCTTGTGATTGGTCCGTTCAAGGTCGTTTGCTGATTGGTTGTTACTGGTGTCTAAAGTTTAACTCCGCCGGATTTCATCATGAGCTGACAGCATTTGGAGAACCACTGGAAAACCTGGGAGGATTGGACAGCTGTTTCGTCCTAGTTTGTGACTCTGAGGATATATATATATCACCTGAGGTAATGGTGTAGTCAGTGGTGAAAGTCTGGAGATGTGATCTGTGGTTACTTCACATTTTTCATGATCCTCCCTGATTTTAACTGTGTAATGATATTGGGATATCAGTTTGACGTCTTATTCTTGAGGCTTATGTAAGTTTTAAGTTAAGTGCATGTTGAATTTCAGCTGTGATTGACGAATTCATTAAAACGCTTTGTTTTTAGCTGTGCAGTCTGCAGTTCTCTGTCATCTGAAGTCCCAAAAGTGATAAACAGGCTTCATCACTAAACTTGAATGTACACACATATTTCATTATGTTGTAGTGAAGTTGTGTCTACGCCCTCTACTACTCATTCAAGAAGAGAATAATTAACAGATGAAGCACTAACAAAGCCTTTAATTCTCAATCTAAGATCTGAAATTCTCTACTAATTACCCTCGTGTTTGCTCTGTTCATTTTTCCCGTGATCAGTTCTTTTCATCGGGAAATTAGTATGTACAAACTGGTTATATTGAAACTAATCTTAATTTGTTTTTGATCCTTTTCTACCTGAATTTCCTGTAGCTTCTCTTTCAATGCATGGGAATTAGTCAGCCTAGAATTTGACCAATTTCTAAATAAGCGATGATATTTGTGTTATCTTCGATAATTCACATGTCGAAGTTTTCTAATCTGTCATACTTTTCCCACGCTATCTTCGTTGATCCGCTGACTTCGACATCTATTGGTCTTACCATTTTTCTTCTTTTTAACAGGGAAAGGTTGAAATCACAGAAGAAGGCATTAAATTACTTGGAAAATTGACGAAATCATTGAATTCTGCTAACACAACAAATGGTGGATGCCCCATAGCTGAAAGTCCAATGAAAGAAAACATTTCAACGCCACATGATGGTAAAAGCAATACATCTAAGAAAAGGAAACGTGTAGCTACTCCTTCTCCTGAGAGAGTTAAACAACCCAGTCGAACTTCATTAAAGGGAACGAAGCACAATTGTGAAGGAGATGAACATTCTTCTCAATCTGGTATTACCGTTGGTACTTCTTCGTCAGTGCATATTCCTCCCTTTCATACTGAACAGCCGATAACATCTGTAAAACAACCCACCAGTGTCAGGTTTCTCGATGCTTTTGAATATGGGGAGGAATGGCTTCCTGGCTTGTTGAAACCAACGAACTTGAAGAACTTCATCAGGTGAATTTGTTATTTCGGTTATATATTTCTAGAAATGCTTTTCATGGCTCACCACGCCAGGTTTCTGACCCATATTTAATATAAAGCGGCTTACTTAACAGTGGTGTTAGACAGAATCCGAATTTCGTTCTTTATACTGTGGAGTGCAGCTGATTTCAGAGTTATGAATTCTGCCTTGCCTTTACGATTCTTGTTTTGATATCCTCGTCCATCCTTTCTACTATAGTTGACACGATGCTGCCTAGATAAGTGAAAAAGAGGCCTCTTTCAAATTTCTTCCGTTGACAGTGATTAATGGTTGTTATTATTGTTGTTGGTTATCGGGTATTTTCATCACTTCCATTTTCTCTGTGCTCACTTAAAGTGTTGTCTCGTGAATCTGAATAGCTCAGTGGTAATGTCTCTGACTGCAGGACTCCACTGAGCGACCTGGCTTGTTGAAGTCTCCCAGAGGTGACGTCGTTAGTTCTTTCAAGATTCCAGATGCGCCTTTCTGGCTGGCGTTAATGCCAACAAGTAAGAAAGCTAGGTCCACACAGAGATTCCTGCCTATTACCTTCAACCATGTAAACCAACAATTCAAAGTGCGACATAGTAGCTAGCCACCTAGTTTGATGGATGTCGAAGGCTGGATTCATGACGCTAAATACCATCTTGTGTCTAGTCGTATTATGTTGTGAATGATCTTGCGTAATCGAAAGAGCTGACAACTAATTCGTTCATAGTGATGAATAATCATTTGGAAATGCTTATTGATAAAGAACAAGGAGGAACAAATAGACTAAGAATGGCCAGCATGGAGTTTATTATAGAACAAAGTCGTAAAGCTGGTGAAAAGTGGGATGAGTATGTAATCAACAGCAATCGGTGAGATGTTTCCTCCACTCATATGACGAGGATGCTGTATCCCCATTGTGACGATGGGGGGTCACTGGATCAGATTGGAAGAGAGATAGCGATGGCCAAACAAAAACATGGCATCAGTCCATAAAATCTTTCAAAGCTAGTTTGAGATAATGACTTGCCGATCACCATCGCGTACCTCATTAGATCCGTTGACGATACAGTTGGCATATGGATGATTTGAAACAGCCACAAAGAGATGCAAGGTTAACTTTCTGTGAGAAACAACCAATCAAAAGACTCTATTTTCTACTAACAATAATGTACATTAAAATCTATAAATATGTGTTGATTTTCCTTAATAAGCGATCTGTTGCCCGGCCCTTGACTTCTGTTAATTTTTTTTCAGATGTAAAATAAAATGCAATTTATCTGAAAATAAAAAGTCTCCTCACACGTAAAACGTCCCGTCAACTTGGCTGCTGTGAACTTTAAAACGACCACCGTCCAACAGAATCTCTGGCTTCTCCACGTCCGATAACCATTCACGGGCACGAAATGCGGCCAAGTGAGAATAATAAGTTGGCGATGGATACGAGACACTACGCGAACACCTCATGTACGCATAGCATAGGTGGTAGGTGAACAACTGGAGAGCGTCCGATGTCCAGTTACTGTCATCATACAAAACGTGATAATGAGCAGGTTTTGAAGTACCCTGGATCCCTTCTTGTGAGCACAGGTAGAAATCGAATTCCCTGGGATGTGTGATGTCTGTATCAACCACCGTTCCTGGCTCCACGTTTCTCGCCCTAGGCTTGCTCGGTCGAAATCGAATGTGGTGACGCTTCTGCACAACAATATAAGTGATCGCGGGTTCTTCACCAGGACGAATGTCTGCACAAGCTCTCTGAATTGCCGCCAACTCCTCTACCAACACATTCTCGAACTGGCCTTCCGAGACTCCATCACGATAGAATATTATACGCGTTGGGAAACGCCCGTTCGTATTTCGCGAGTAAACCTCAAGCAACTCCTTGACAATAAGACGCATGTCGTCGATTATTTCTCTTGCTCTCTTATTCCCCTTTTCTGTCGTCGCCTGTTGGCGGATCACCACCGCGTACCTCATTAGATCCGTTGACGATACAGTTGGCATATGGATGATTTGAAACAGCCACAAAGAGATGCAAGGTTAACTTTCTGTGAGAAACAACCAATCAAAAGACTCTATTTTCTACTAACAATAATGTACATTAAAATCTATAAATATGTGTTGATTTTCCTTAATAAACGATCCGTTGCCTGACCCTTGTCTTCTGTTGTTACAGTAATAATAATCGTAATAATAATAACCGTAAATTCGTTTGCTATTGATTATTTAGCAAAATTTACCCAATAGCATATGATAACTGTGGGACAAATTACACTAAACTAAACCTAAGTTCTGCGACACTCAGTGAGTAATGAAAAGTCTTTCAATGTATATATGTGTAAAATTTGAATTGAGAATGAGGTCAACGCATTTTAAGACAACTGATGCGATAACGGTCTCTTAGGCTGTAAGCGCTTCCCCTAATTTCCAAATCATTTAAGGCGGAGAAATTTGCGAAACCTTCTCCATTCTCATTTATTTCACCGCATGCCACGATTGTTAGTGGCTGTCTGTTTTCGACATAGAACTTTGGACATATGTGCGGCAGTTCAAGTCGCCACACTCCATGTAGCACACAAAGCAAGAGAAGAAATTAGGAGAAATGCATAATAAAGACAGTAAACAGAGGTGTGAGACAAAGGTATAGTATAATGAAGAACACAACAGTTTCATTGGAAATCATAAGTCACAAGGAGTGGATGCATCTGCGCCATTGAGAACGATTTTGAGGCATGTCACCAATTGTTTCCAACCATTGGTTTTTACCATCCCGAGGACCTCAACCAGGAAGTCTACACCTTCCTACGTGGCTCAGACTAACTGTTGTGGAATTCATTGACTGGTGCCATGTTTCAGTTTGACTGCCGCTAGCTCTTTTCCAGCCTGACCCTATATCAGCTAAAATTGCCCGTCGAGGAAGGCGATGACTAGGCATACGTAGCACATGTCCTAGCCATCTCAGTCGATGTAGCTACTTCACAGCCTAGTCAACTGATTTCCCCTCCTTACCTAGCACTCGACGCCTAACCTCAATATTGCTCACCTTATTATACCACTTCACGCGGGAGATGGAACGCAGACACCTATGATCAAAGACAGCTAATCTTTTCATATCCTCCGCTCTCAATGGCCAGGTCTCACAGCCATAAAGGAGGACGAAGCGGAATGCTGAGCAGTACACACACCCTATGGTCGAGAGTCTAGAATCTGTCGGAGAGTGAAGATATGATCGATACACCCGCTTCCTGGCCTAAAGCCTGGCTGGTTTTCTCGTGTTTGTGCCTCCCGAGCACCATTTAGTCTACGCATGATTATTGAGCCTAGGACTTTAGATACTATATTAGTCAAGCTAATCCCTCTGTGATTATCACAGGAAGAATAGTCTCCCTTCTTGTATATCGGGATAATCAGTGACTTACACCAACCCGATGGGACTTCCTCTGATTCCCAGACGCTGCCTAGCACCTCAGTTAATGCAGACAGTAAATTGTCTCCACCGTACTTAAATACCTCTGGAGTTATTCCATCAGGTCCCGCTGCTTTGCCTTGCTTCAGATTAGTGACAGCTTAAGTAACCTCAGTTAAGGACGGAGGACCTGTGCCTATATCCCATTCAGTTTACAGTTTACAATTTATTTAGGATAGTAGGCTATATGCCTGTGTTAATCCTTTCGATTTGTTACACACAGGAGGTCCAATCTCGCCTTGAATGAATCAACGGATGGAGCTGATACGACGTGTTCCGGTAGGGAGTTCCAATGGTTCACAATCCGATGCGAAAAACGGATCTCCAGACGCAGACGATTCGACCGTGGCTTTTGAACCTTGAGGTGATGTCCTCGCAATTGGTTGGTGCTAGAAGGAAGAAATAAATTAGATAAATTTGCTCCAAAATCATTTCTTAGGATACGGTATGCTAGTATTAGGTCACTCCTAAGTCGTCTGTATGACAGTGGAAATAAACCCAGTCGACTTAACCTCTCCTCATATGAGAGGGTTGAGAAACCCTTTATTAGCTTAGTTCCTACGCTTTGCACCCTTTCTAATAAGTCTATTTCGTATTTGAAACACGGGCTCGCTGCCTGGATCCCATATTCCAAATGAGGTCTGATATAAGTCGGATATAATATACGAAATATATCAGTGTCATAGTTCGCAAAAGCCTTGCGTATGTTCCATAATATTCGAAAACCCTTAGTGGCTGCAGCTCTACTGTTTGTTGCTGTTTTCAAGTCATGCTGCACAACCACTCCCAAGTCCTTGTACTCAGTGACCACTGGGAGAGTAATGCCATTCATTGAGTAATTGTGCACGTGACTATGAGATACATGCATAACTACACTCTTGCTTAAGTTAATCTCCAAGGCCCAGTGCTTACACCAATCACTTAACAAGTTTAAATCTTCCTGCAAAGCAAGTTGATCACTGTCATCGTGTAAGGCCCTCCATATCTTGATGTCATCAGCAAACAGTAAGCAGGATGACCTAAGTACCGATGGAATCTCATTAACATAAATCAGGAAAGAAGTGGGCCTAGAATTGTACCCTGAGGAACGCCACTTTTAACTGATTCCCATGTTGATAAACCCCCTTAACTCGTACTCTTTGTCTTCTGTCCTTTAGAAAGTCTTGAATCCAGTCGGTAACCACTTTATTGATTCCCATACTGCCTAACTTTACTAGAAGACCTGAATGAGAAACCCTGTCAAACGCCTTGCTAAGGTCGATGAATATGGCATCCACCGGTATATTAGCATCAGCTGAGGTGTTGAATGTTTGGCAGGTTAAGCGTGGCTGTAGGCCAATTAAACTGCTCTTCATAGTGTTCTTTCCAGCGCTCCAGTCGTTTATCCTGGGAGCTAATTATGGTGCCATTTTTCTCCGAGATTGTTTCGCTTATCATTTGCCTTTTGCCACCTGTTTCCCTGATAAGCCTGAATAGTTGTCTGGTGTTCCAATCGCCGATGCCTTTTCCATCTCTTTCGCTTTTGTCACCCACCACTGTTCACGGTCGTTGCAATGACTTTTTGTTAGTTTTCGTTTAAGTACCTTTCGCTCCTCATCATAATCGGAGCTCGCTGGAATCAGTCTCCTTGCGTCAGTCAGTTCAGATGAGGCGGTAGAGATCCAATGGCTTTTATTAACTTTAGGTTTTAGCTTTCACAGCTGTGTCTACAGCTAACTGTATGTTGTGCTAGGCTACCTCGGGGGAAGTCCTGCTGTCGATCTCAGAAACTCGTTTCGCTATTTCTTCCTTAAATAAGGACTCAGTGTCTCGATCTACGGTTAGTGTCTGAAATTATCAGTGGTCTATCCCGGTTTGACTCAGCTAATTGTTGAATGTCTTTGAGACCGTTTGAATACTGTCTGGCTAGCTGACTCCTTGGTAAAAATTTTAAATATGCAGCTTACACACAGTTCTAGGTGAGAGTTCGCTACATATATTCCTTTAGAAACCCAGCATACCTTTTAATTAGGTTCAAGGTGAAGGAAACTTAAGGAAATTCTTGAAAGATCTTCAAACTAAGTGAACACTCTCAGGTTTGAATTCCACTCCAGCTACTTCTGACGTGATATAGTACTGGAGTGCACCGACTATTGGTTTTAAGATCGAAAGTAAGGTGTTCAAATGTGTGGACCATCCTTTCACCCACTTATTTGAGAAGTCGCATCACCCTATATCGGCTGTCTGATTGTTGATGAAATTTGAGGATGGATGTGAAAGTTTTGTGTGGCTTTGGTGTGGGACCA